ACACTGGCACAAGGTGTAGACTCAAAAGGCCTTGGCCAGCTCTGCTCCTATGGCATTGTAAGGTACAACCCCCATGGCTGCTCTCACAAGTTGTTCTGTGCCTGCAGGTTTTCCACACTGAAGGTGCAAATTGCCAGTGGATCTACCATTCTGGGGCCTGGATAACTGTGTTCTTCTTTCCACAGCTCCATTAGACAGTGCCTCAGTAGGGACTCTGTGTGGGGGCTCCAGCTCCACATTTACCCACCACACTGCTCTAGCAGAGGTCCCCCATGAGAGTTCTGCCCCTGCTTACACATACTCTGAAATCAGGTAGAGGCTGCCAAGCCTCATTAACTGTTGCATTCTGTGTGCCTGCAGGCCTAACATCACGTGGAAACCATTTTTTATGGTTTTATGGCTTGAGCCCTCTCAAGTGGCAGCCTGAGCTGTACCTGGGGCGCTCTGAGTCAAGGCTGGAGCTGCAGCAGCCACAAGGTGCAGAGTAGTGTCTTGAGGTTGCACAGGGCAGTGGGGCCATTCTCTGTAGGAGGAAGGAAACCATTCTTGCCTCCGAGGTTTCTGGGCGCATGATGGGAGGTGCTGCTAGGAAGGTCTCTGAAGTACCTTCCAGGCCTTTTCCCTATTTTCTTGAATATTAGCCCTTGTTTTATTTTTAGTTATGGAAATTTTGGCCAGCAAGTGGTTGCTTCACATCCCACTTGAATTCATCTCCTGAAAAAGCTTTTCTTTCTCTGCCACATGGCAGACAAGACATTTGGTGGGGACATATATCCAAACTACATAATAAATTCAACAGCTATTATTCAAAGATGGTTGTAAGAAATACTAAATATCTGCATGAAGTGCAAGGCAAAAACAGTCTCAACTCCAGTGTGCTGACAGCGTTTTTTTAACTACAGCATTTAAAAAAATGTTGTTTTGAGGCATTATTTTAAGAAGTGCGATAATTGTAACCCTATCTCTACTTTATTATTTTGCCTAAGATAGGAGGCAGATCAGTTTTAGAATATGATATTTAAGTTATTAAATAATTAGAGAATGGGCATAGGGTATGTGTTAGAGGGCATGGAGACTAAATACTTACAAAAATGTCACTTTTTAAAAAGAAAAAAGGGGTTGTTTTGGGGAAACAGAAAAACTAAGTACCCTACATGACTTACAGTAGTCTCCCCTTATCTGAGGTTTCTCTTTCCACGGTTTGAGTTACTTGCAGTCATCCCTAGCTAAAAAATATTACATGGAAAATCCCAGGAAAGAAAAACATTTCATAAGTTTTAAAGTGTGTCTATTCTGAGTATTATAATGAAATCTCTCACTATCTCCATCCTGATAGGAATATAAATTATCTTTGCCCGCTGCATCCATGCTGTTGACCCTACCCACCCATTGGTCACTCAGTGGCTATGTTAGTTATCAACTGGAAAAAACATGGTGCAATTGTCCCTCAGCATCCTTGGCGGATTGTATCAAGGACTCTTGAGGATATGCTCAAGGACCTTATATAAAATGTCATAGTATTTGCTTATTACCTAAACAGTATATCCTCCCATATACTTTAAATCACCTCTAGTGTACTAACCAAAGCCATGTGAATTCCATGTAAATAGTTGTTACAGTGTATTTTTTTAATTGTATTTTTATTTTAAAAATATTTTATCAGTGGCTGATTGAATCTACCAGTGTGGAACCCACCAATACAGAAGGAAAACCTTATATATATATATATATATATATGTATATATACAGGGTTCATTACCATCCAAGGTTTCAGGCATTCACTGAGGATCTCGGAAGGTATCCCTACAAATAAAAGGGACTGCTGTACTTGCATTATTCTATTATTTTACTTCAAACTTCATAAACTTAGTCAAGAAATAATCTTTGATCTTAGAGTTTCCTAAATGCAAAGTGCTAGTAGTCCATGAAGTTTTCTTTTTTATTTCTAAAACTGTTTAATTACAGTAGAATTCTTTTTCTTGAGCAAGAGAAGCTTAAGGAACAATGATGAACAAGTTGTCAGAAAAGAGTGACCTATGTCCTTTGAGACTTTCTTCTATCTAGCAAGCAAGCAATTTTACTGTTCAGAAGCCCTCAGTCTTATAAAGAAGAACAGGTATCTATCTACCTTTTATTTTTCTAATCAAGCACTTATATACTTATTCTATATTTTTCTTTTAAGTATTATTGTAGTCTCACATTTCTTTTAAATTTGATCAGTTCCATATATTTTCCAATTCTTTGCCATTTTATTTTCATATATAGGCACATATTATTTTCCCAGTAATAATTTTATATGTAGATCATTAACAAACCATAGTGTGGAGAAAGTTTTACTGTTTGTGCTACCATCTTTAGAAAAGTTATAATGTCCATTTTCAAGTATCTAATCTTCACATATTATCATAAGTAAATTAAAATAAATACAAGTATATACTTTTGGTAGTAATCATTTTAATCACTCTTGTCTCAACTCCACTTTCAACTTAGAAATTACATTGTCTATATGTCATATTTGAAAGATTGGTGGAATCTCCATTAACAAAATCATAAGACAAATGTTTGCTACTGTGTAAGACAATCTTGATGACTGTTAACACCTTTTGGTTGGATGGATTTTTTCCACATTTTTTTCTTTCCTGTCCTCCAAACTTCCCTTTCTACCCCCTTCATCCCTTCTCCCTTCCTTGTTTTTTGAAACAGGTGTGCTTTAGTTGCCCAGAATGCAGTGCAACGATGGTATGATAGCTCACAGCAGCCTCAACCTTAATGTAAATTAAGAATGACATGGTCCTTCTTGAATCACTCAAACCCAGGAGGTGGAGGTTGCAGTAAGACGAGATTCTGGCATCGCACTCCAGCCTGGGCAGCAAGAGTGAAACTCTGTTTAAAAAAAAAAAAAAATGACCTAGTTCTTACAACTAAATTTATATTTGTATCTTTCCTACTTTTTAATAAAATAATTGAGAATACCTTTGGTGTTTGCAGTCTCTTAAGATCTTGCCTAACAAAATAAAAGTACATAAAAATTGAGTAACTGTATTTTCCCATTATTTGTACTGATCAATGAAAACCCCAAATCTGTGAGCCATATGTTTCTGCACATACTTATATGTTCTTGCTCCAGTGGTTTGGCAATTTTGGTTACCCTGAGAATTCTCTGGGACCTTGATAAATATGCAGATTCTTATTAGGTCATCTTGCTCCCAAGAGATTCTGGCATCAGTACCTAATCCTTAAGTTACTATGTAGGTTGACACCCTACAACAAGGAATGATTCATTCAATGAGATGTAAATACTTGTCCCCAGAAACTTTGGAACTAAGTATTCAGTTTCTTCAATAAACAGAGCACAGCTTGTTTCACAGGTTTTTGGGGGCTGACCTGAACAAATGGACTAAGTGTGACGTAGTCTACAGAGTTCCGAACAATTTACAAACTACGTTCCTGGCTGTTCACAAACTGGGAATTGACTGCATTCTTTGGAGAGCTACGTGTTTCCACTGGGGAGCCCCATGACAGGTGCTCGACCTCATTCTGTTGAATGTTTTATTAAACATAGGGGTGGGTTAAACCGCTAGGTTTTAAATAAGTACTTAGAGCTTTTCAACTTGCCCCAGACCTTATCATTCAGTGTATTATCATTAGCTTTGTGATTGCCATGTAAAGAGCAAAGTAACCGCTGGTGATTGCGTTCCCGAGCCGGAGAGGAAGACTGGTTTTTGCAGTGCCCAGGCCTGCACGGAAGCGCCCTGGCAGAACCCAGCTAAGGATACACTCTTTCTCCCGCGCGGACGGAGGGCTGAGCGCTCCCGGGGGAACTGTGTGTCAGCAGAGCCAGGAGATAGCAGGGCCAGGGGGCAGCTCCACCACAGGAGACAGGACACGCCTCATTCTGGGCAAATTCCCGGCCTCCTTTGGCTCTAAGCCAGCAGCCGCCGCCCGCCACCTACTCTCCTCCGCCGTCACCCCGGCCGCCCTGCCGGGCCCCGAACTCGCCCGCGCCAGGGCGCGCGGTCCCTCGGCCCGCGGGGCTGGAGGCGCGGTTGGGACAGCGACGGGACGCCTGCCGAGGCGCTCCCGGTCCCTGAAGAGGCCGGTACCAACTGGAGGGCTGAAGACAGCTGCCGTGAGGACTAGCCGGGCAGCCCCGGGGCCCTGAGGGCCCGACTTGAGAAGCTGGAGGCCATGTACCGCCGGGCCCTGCTGCAGCTGCACCTCGAGCAGCGGGGACCACGTCCGCATGAGGACAAGGAGGAGCAGCCTCTACGGGAACCCGACTCCGGCCTCCGCTCCCTGCACTCGGAGCCCTCGCGGCCCTGTCTGTAGCCGAGGCCGCAGCCAGAGAGGGGCGGGGCCTCCCTCAGGTCCTTCCTCCTTCGTTCCCAGCTCCCCGCCTCTCGCGCACACCCTGGCCCGCGCCCTGCCCGCGGATACCTAGGACAGCGGTGCCCTCCCACCCGGCCAGCGGACACTTCCGGGTGGTACTCAGCCATTGGCTTGGCGGAGGTCGAGTGGGTGTAAGGACCCTGGGGACTTCCCACAGGTACTCGTCCCCTGCCTCGTGCCCCGGCTAGTTTCCCTGGAGAGAGGCCTAGCCAACTACGGAAGGACGGATTTTAAAACTGCAAGAACTGGGTGCCAAGAAACACTTCCTACTCCCTGAACTTTTCTAGGTGTTGTGAGAACCTGTTGCATTTTTTTTTCTCTGTTTTGGTTCTGAAGGAGGAGTAATGAGCTTTTAGTTGGTTGAGTCTGTCCATTCTTCAGTCCCCTAAATCCAGTTATTCTCTCTTACATGGCCAACATTTAAGTTTGTTTTTATAAGTTGGTGTTACTTGAATGTCCAATAAAATACCCCATTTTTATAAAGATGATATTTATAACTTAAGTATTCATGCCTGTCCTGGCTGCAGTCCCCTTACATCTAATATATACTGATTTATTTGCCCCGCGAAGACTTTAAAGTATCTGCCTATAGCGTGATCTTTTGAAATGGTAAATAAATCTGTTGCATTAAAAATCATCTGAAAGGTTCCAACGAGTATTATTTGAAGGGTTACATTTTTACATTTTAAAAAAGATACCTGTATGAATATAATAATTTAAATCTGGCTTTGGTTGACCTTTGTAACTATCATGTTCTTTTCACTTTATGTAACAGTGATCTTTTAAAATAATCTAAGGATTAGTCTAACCATTATTTTAATCTTTAATGTTTAATTAGCTTAATTAGTAAATAGACAATTTACCTTAATTTGACTAAGGACTTTTAAGAAATTGTAAATTGTATATCAAAACTCCCCAAAGTGATTTAAGTCTCAATAGTTACTTCAATGGCACAAAAAAGTGACTGTCTTCAGCCCTCTGGTTGGGACCCGCCTCTTCAGGGAGCGGAGGCCAGAGTCGGGTTCCCGCAGAGGCTGCTCCTCCTTGTCCTCATGCGGACGTGGTCCCCGCTGCTCGAGGTGCAGCTGCAGCAGGGCCCGGCGGTACATGGCCTCCAGCTTCTCAAGTCGGGCCCTCAGGGCCCCGGGGCTGCCCGGCTTGTCCTCACGGCAGCTGTCTTCAGCCCTCGGGTTGGTACCGGCCTCTTCAGGGACCGGGAGCGCCTCTGCAGGCGTCCAGTCGCCGCCTCCACCCGGCAGCCGCAAAGCCTGACGGAAGAGGCCACATCGGTCCTGTCCCAACCGCTCCTCCAGCCCCGCGGGCCGAGGGACCGCGCGCCCTGGCGCGGGCGAGTTCGGGGCCCGGCAGGGCGGCCGGGGTGACGGCGGAGGAGGAGAGTAGGTGGCGGGCGGCGGCTGCTGGCTTAGAGCCCAAGGAGGCCGGGAATTTGCCCAGACTGAGGCGTGTCCTGTCTCCTGTGGTGGAGCTGCCCCCTGGGCATAAAATTGGGGCTTTTGCATAAATGTATTATTCTAGCCCACTTAAAATATAACTTCTGCCTGAATTCTACTATTCTTTGAGTTGTCTTATAATATCCAAAATTTGTACCATAATTTTTTCACTCAAGAAAATATGTAACAGTGATCTTTTAAAATAATCTAAGGATTACTCTAAACATTATTTTAATCGTTAATGTTTAATTAGCTTAATTAGTGAGTAGATAATTTACCTTATTTTGATTAAGGACTTTTAAGAAATTGTAAATTGTATATCAAAAACTCCCCAAAGTGATTTAAGTCTCAATAGTTACTTCAATGGCACAAAAAAGTGACTAGTTTTAGCTATAAACGTCCTAAAGTTACTTTTATTGCGCTTCGTTAATGAATAACACTTTTGCCAACTAAATAATGAAGAGGAATACCATTGTGCCTGATAAAAAATCATGGGTCTAAGAGTGTTTCAGTGATGGAAAACATTTCAGGGGAAAAATCATGAACAGAATTGTCAGGGGATTCAAATACATTATTGCATAGTCCAAAAGTTTTAAATATATATTACAAAATAATATGCCAGGGAGACAAGTTTTGTGATTTTTCTGGTTCTGGGTTTTAAAGACTGCATTTTGCTTAAAGATAATTAATATTCAGATGTGAATATTAGAATCTTCCCCTATGGTCAAAAAATAGAAGGAACTTGATGAGAAGAGTTAGGTAGTATATGAAAATAAATTCCATTCTCCTTCACTTCATTTCTAAGAGTGAAAGAAATACAGTGATGTACTGCCTAACTGACATTTAGCCAAGATGGACTGCTGATATGATGACGGTCCCACACGATTACAATACTGTATTTTTATTATGCCTTTTCTATGTGTAGATATATTTAAATACACAACTACCACTGCATTATTAATTGCCTGCAGTATTCAGTACAATAACATGTTTCCAAATTTGTAGCCTATCAGGAATAGGCTCTACCGTATAGCCCAGGTATGTAATACCATATACCTTCTAAGTTTGTGTAGGTACACTCTAATGTTCACATAACAAATACATTGCCTAGTGATGCATTTCTCAGAACATGTCCCATTGTTAAGAGACCCATGTTTCGGAGGCAGTAGGAATTGGAAAATGGAATCAAGTTTGTTCATCTCACTGCTATTAAATTGTAACTTTAGGCTTAAGTTGGTTAAGCTCGCCAAACCCTAGAATTCTCATTAGTAAAATGAACATAAGATCTACCTCAAAATGTTATGAAAATGTTATTGAGATAATATAAGCAAAATGCCCGCTTCAAAGTAAGTGCAATATCTGTGAGAATTATAATCCAAAGCATGAAAATAGCAGATGCATATTTTGCTTACACTTTCCCTTGCATTTTATATCTTGCTTCTATATGACTTTACAAGTATTAGCAAAGATACATAAATTTGGAATAAATGGACATTTTTTACTTTTTAGAAGCAAATAGAAGAGAGAAAACTCTATATAATAGGAATAATGAAATATAAGTTTAAAAAAATACCAGTTGTGGCAAATTTGGGGATATTTAACAACAAACCAAATTATTTAGTTTGCAGAGTTATTAAGCACTTTTTGTCTTAAAATTATGTACATATGAATGAATGCTAAAAATTGTAAATGCACTGGTGAAAACATTTTTGTCATGGGACGTAAGTGTGCATGCACACAGACATACACAAATAATGGTAACTTGAACATAATTCCTAAAAGGCATTGCAAATTCTGAAAACAAAATGCTCCATAAGATGGGTTAAAGCTAATGTCTATTTCAAGCTCCATGAATTTCCCACTGATAAGTGATAAAGCATCATTCAGTAATATGAGGTTTTGTAATATCACAATATATAGCAATTAAGAAATGGTTAAAGTTGATTTTAGAAAAGCCTCCCATAGAGGAGGCTTTAAAATCTAAAGTTGATTTTGTAAGAGGATATCATATAAAATGATATCAGGGTATTTAACAAATTCAATTAACAGTATATACTGAAAAATTATAAGCAGCATGCTCTTGATCCCAGTGCCAAAAGACCATTTTCTCTTTTGCTAGATTTTTAGCAAAGGGATAGATTTTTACTGTGAATTTGTCACAAAATGTTTGGAAAATCTCCATGAATGGCAAAATTTATTTATATTTCTATTTAGTGATGAATTGATAATTTAAAAATCCTAATTTTTTCTAATAAAACTTTTTGAGTATCTATGTATCATCAGATACGCAGGTAGTATATAATGTATTTATGCAATGGAAATATTAAAAATCAAGGAAAACAGACTATACTCACATCTGACTTTATAAGAATTATGCTCAAATTTCTAGTTTTAATTATTAAATTAAGGTGATTATAATACCTCAATTATCAGAATTAAACTACATTGTGTTTAATCCACAGCAGATAGTGCTTTGTATAAAATTCATACTGAGAATCTATTTAATTGTCGGTATAGTTTTTGTGTATTTCTTAAAAATTTATTAGTAAGGAAGTATGTTTTTAAACCAACATTCTCAAACATCTATTGTGCTTGAGAGAGAAGAATAGTGAATTTGTTGCTTCTTAATTATTGCCTGAATGATAAGTATTCTACTCTAAAAATTGAGTTATTTGAGGGAGGAAGTTTAACAACAATCTATCTCATATTCACCAGGGTCTTTATAATGTTTTCTATTTTTTTCTATTTGTACTGGATTCCTGAAATGTCAGGTAGAAAATACTCAGATGTAAAATCAAAAGATACATACATATGTGCATATACACTCAGACACACACACACACATGAATTTTCAACGCATTTTCCTTTTCCATTGGTGTAAAAGTGATCATATATATTTAAAAGCTTTAAAAAGTCATTTAATTATGGTATTTAATAAGCTAATCTTATTCTTGATAATTGGGTAAAGCCTAACATTTCCTTAAATCATTTAAGTCTCTTATCCAATACATTATTTATCCGTATTAGAATTGATAAACAATTTCCTTGGCCTTTCATTTTTCCTTATTTTCTTACTTTAATTTTATTACTTTAATTGTTATCATTTTAAAGCATATAACCTCCATTGTATTTTAAACTTAATGGCTCTGCCATTAGTTATGGTGAAGATTCTGTGGCTATAACAAACCCAACAATTCAGTAGGTATAAAAAAACAAATATTTTTTCTTTAACAAAATACTCTAATTAGAGTGCTTCAGGATGTCAGGAAGCTGTGCCCAGGTAATCATTTGAGGTCTCAGACTCCTTTTACGGTATGCCTCTGCCTTGCCATTGCTTCATCTAGGTAGTAGAAACAGATTACCATACTCAGGTTTCAGTTTATAAGAATGGTAACTAGAACTAGGAGGCAGCAAACCCAGATTTGAAAATGACATAAATCTCTCTGCTCACATTTCATCTGTACAGCATCATTGAATCACCACTTAACTTCTAAGGAGGCTAAAAAATGTATTTAAGTTGCATAATCTTTGGCCTAGCTGTAATTTCATTACAATGGAAGAATGGGAGAACAGATTTTTTATGAATAACCACCTTAAATTGAGGCTGTCATCTATTTAAAATTTTAAAATATTTTATGTCTTAGTATAGTATTTTTGAAACTACATAATATAGTTAAAAATAGAAATATAATGTGCTTTCCTTGCAGACTGAAAAAAATCTGACTTTTTATTCACTATTCTTATGAATACAAAATTAGATGTTGCTTTAACTTTATATTTAAAATAAGCAAGGAAATATAGCTGGTAAATTTTGTATAGGACATTGCTATAAGTATGAACAGTGTGTAAGAATTATATATATTATAAAAATATGGGTTTAGAGCCTATAAGTAGTAAGCATTATTCTATTCTATGTGTAAATCTAAATACAGAACTTGAGGGAAAATATATTTTATTCATCTTATCTATTATGTACCACAATTCTACAAGTTTTAGAGCTGAAAGAGACCTTACAGGGTTTTAGCCCAGCATCCTTTAGACATTTTTCTTGTCAGCAACTTAACTTTGAAGAGACTCACATTTTACATAACATGCTAATTGAGCATTCTTCATTCATTTATCAAGAATAGTTAATCAAAATTGAATGTGAATGCTCAATAATTAAAAGTCTAATAGAACCATTTAACTCTAAAACTTAAACATCTGGCTTATGAGTTGATTGAAAATCAATTTGTTGGTCAACCCTAAAAAAAATGTAAATTTTACTAAAGACTGATCTATAAAGAAGGTTTTGACCTCTTCACTTGCCCTCTTGCTTCAGTTATTCCAAGAGTATAACTAAAACACTTAAATATACTTGATGATAAAATAATATAGTTTCTACCTATTCATTTGTGCTATCCTCAGTATCAGCCTGTTAATTACAATTTCTCTAAACATAACTAATTTCTATATGTTAACTTTCACTGTGCTACATTTCAGGATTCAACCAATTCCAAGATTAAATTTGGTCTTCAAAAGTTCTGAAGGCTTTATTGGCTGATAGCAGAATACTATTACAATCCTATTATATTTAAACTTTTAAAATACTTCAAATAGCTTGCAATTATCACATATTAATGTTAATGATACTAAGTTCTATTAATATATCATTTGCTGATGCTTCACATTTCTAAGTACGTTGTTTAAAATAAAAGAAAAGGCATATGCTTAGAAATAGAATGAGCATAAAAACAAATTGTTGAAGAAGGCTGGTTCAAAACAGAAAGGAGATAATATAGGATAACAAAATAGGATATCTTAATCAGATAGGGCCGCTATAACAAAATATTATAAACATGGTGGCTTATAAGCAAGAGAAATTTATTTCTCATTGTTTTGGTGGCTGGAAGTATGAGATGAGCATGCCAGTATGCTGGAGTTCCGGTGATGGCCCTCTACCTGGTTGCAGACTGCAGACTGTTTTTACCTTCAAATGTCTGAAAGAGAGAGCTCTGGTCTCTTAATTCCATGTATGGTCACTAATCTCATTCTTAGGGCTCTACTCTCATGACCTAGTTATCTCCTAA